CCCCAAAACCCCAAAACCCCAAAACCCCAAAACCCCTTTAGAAAGTCGAAAATTGAATAAATTATATCTATATTCTTATGAGCAGACTTGAGGTTCCTTGGGAGTCTTTAGTTTTTATCACCAGCTTTGGCTACTTCAGGGGAGGGCACAAAAGACCAGCCACCTCCATTTTTGGCAGCAGTCTCTGGACTTACGGCCATGTTAAAGGCCCCCTTGGATGCCTTTGGAGGTGTGTTCATGTTAGCTTTTGAACCAGATTCGTTTGGGTTAGCCATGGATGCTGTTCTTGGAGGTGTACGCGGCCTAATAGCTGAAGAAGAAGGCATAGGTCTTTCATAACCAGGATTTGTACCTAAGCCATGAGATGGAAGACCTGCAGAGGGAGCAAAGCCGTATCTATTTCCCTTATCATAAGCTGTATATGAAGGCCTAGAAAAGTTTGTTGACCCAGATTTTCCATGATATGTTGAACCTCCTGTTGGCATACTTCTGTTAAAACTTCCTCTTCCATACTCACTTCTAGGTCTTCTTGATTCAGAGTAAGAGTACTTTGATTGTGGTCGAGAGTAACTTCCTAAGGCTGGGCTCCGATCAAATTTGTTATAAGCATTATACTCTCTAGCTTTATTAGTTGAACTGTAATCATTCCTTTTTTGAATCATATCAGCATTATACCTATGAGGACTCTGACTTAGATAATTAGATATCTGGGGCTGATATCTTGAATTAGATCTCTCTGCAGAGTGTCTATTTCTGTATCTATTCGGAGTCTCGTAACTTTTAAAGTTTTGTTTCTCTTCATTATGGATAGAAGAAGACATTTTAGCATATCCTCCGGGATAAATTGGATAATCTTTTCTCTTATGATCAGAAGTAGGTGATGTCTGGTACCTAGATGGAGAGCTCATCAAACCATGCTTATTATGTGAGCCACGGGATGGTGAATAAAGAGCATTCCTGATATTTCCCATACTTTGGCTAGTGGAGCTTGAGTATATCTGATTTCTATTTTCATAACCAGGAGACCTCTCAGATCTAAAATATCCTACACCAGGTCTTGAAACCTGATCTGTAGAGTTGAATTGAGAATCTTTGTATTTATCAGAACCATATTTATCAGGACTTCTAGTAGGACTTTCATATTTCTGGTCCTGCAATTGACTGCCAAAAGGCTTAATGGGATCATGATATTTCCCTTCTGAGCTTCTATATCCCGCATATCCTACATAAGAACTTCTTTGTTGGTAATTCCTGTCATAATCCCCTATTCTTCCATCTCTGTCTCTCTGCTCACCACTATGAGAAGGTTTAGATGGCTCAGCTGTTCTATTTCCGAAATCATCGTATCTAAACTTCTCCTCTGCTCTATCAAAATGAGCCCTTTGCTGATGCGAATGATAAGCTGCATTATTCTCAGGCTCTGCTGCTCCCGTACAGTTCCTAAAATGCGGTGCTTGGCCACCTCTATGGTACTCGGCTAGGCCACTGGCTGAGCCAGTGGGCCTAGAGGAAGGACCATAGGGGCTTCTTGAAGCAGCAAGATATTCTGAAGGAGGAGCTATGGAGCTAGAGCAGCCTTGGCTTTGGTATCTTTCTCCTCTTGATGGACTGGAATAAGTGTGGAGCTGGTATTGTGGCCTTGAATGGTAATCAAATCCATAATCTTTTCTATCTAGATCTTTCATATTTGAAGAATAATTTGCATAATGGCCGCTGCTACGAAGATTATTGTAAGGAAAAGCACTCCTAGATTTTGAAAATTCTTCAGAAGGCTTTGGTGATGCATCTGCAGGTGTAATTCCTTCAACGAACTCGCCATATGAAATACGGGCATCAGCAGTTACGTCAAACCTTCTGACAATCGAGTTCACATCCGTCTTTGATACTTCACAATCTTGGTTTTTGAGGAATTCTTGAATCATTGAAGCATCAAGGTATCCATATTTGTTCTTGTCAAGAGCCTTAAAAATCTCTTTACAATCAGAATTCTCTGCTTCTGAGATTTTCTTTTTGATGCTTTCAACCTCAGTATGGTATTCGCACTCTTTTTGAATCAGGGAGCTCAGTTGTTCTTGAACTTCTTTTGAGAAAGAGTCTACTTCATGGCTAAGTCTTCTGTTTGTAGCTCTATTTCTAAGATAATCATTTGCTCATGGCAATAAGATCTGTGAGAAATCGTTCATGCTCAGCTTATCGCTTTCCATCGAGTCAAAGTACTTAATCATATGCGAGATGCTTTCCTCAGGAACATCTGTGATTTCATTAGAGGTAAGGAGAGAACTAATATCCGATTTAGAAATATATCCCTTGTTATCCTTATCTAACTTTTTGAAGCAAGCTCCTGCTTCAAAATTATCCATTGAAGCTAGAGCTTGTCTCTGCTCTTCAGTGGTTTCTTCCCTACTAGCAACTGCTAAGAAGAGGCTCTTTACGAGTTCGAGGGCTTGTTCGCTCATTTTTATTTTCTTAAATTTATCAGTTAGAAAATTCAAATTTTTATGTAAGAAAAGGGGTTTTGGGGTTTTGGGGTTTTGGGG